TTTCACTTCCTAAGCTTCGGGATCTTTGCTGTCGGAAAACAAACAGTGCAAAAGAAACCAATTTGCTCCCTGAAGCCAGTCATGTCAGTAGCAACGTCCACTGGGGTGGTTGTTCATTTTGTTCTTGTGAAGTGATGCAATACATAAGTATACTGAAGGATGATATAAAATACGATTATTCTTTTGAATAGATGTTGTTGGACACTACCCTGTGACCTCTGTGAATTTTGACACATCAGCAACGAGTTACGTTTTGGACAAGATGAGGGTTTGTTTATTAGAACATACACAGTTAGCACTGGCTTCTTCTGTGAGCTCAGATTGTGGAGTTGGTTCAGATTTGGTTATCAGTGGACCCAGCCCTGCCATGTCATGGAACTAGCGAGAATTTTGGCTTGCTAAAAAAGATTCCATGTGAAGGTGCATGCTTCTGTCCTCCACCCCCCAGCATACCATTCTGCTTGGTTTGCAGATAGCAGTGCTGTCCACCACATGCCCGAATCCAGCAATACTTCGGAAGGCTTGGAAGTAGAGCCCCATGCAGGCCTATTGCCAGGGTGTGGCTTATTTGTAATTCTTCTGTTTGAGACAAATGCCATTATTTTAGCAGATCGCATCAATTTTAAATGAAGCCTGCAGTATTTAAGCTAATATCCATTGACTCTTCTTAGTCGACAGCAGAGGGCTGAGGGTGTTGTAACATGGCTGTAGGTAGGGGCTGGGTCACAGGAACAGTAGGACAGTAGCATTTAAAATACAAATAAAATAGCTGTGAAACAAATAAAGGCACCAAACCATAATAGCCAACTTTGGTAGGTTTCTTGCAGAATATATGCATTTAAATACATTTACAGTTTACAAGGTTATACTGTTTTAAAAAGTTGCACTGATGAAATATGGCATATTTCATTCTTGTACCAAAACTACATATCCCATCATAACAACTACATTTTAGGTTTTATTTAGCTGATAACTTATAAGAACTGCACCTCTCTGTAGAGCAAAGCTGATCCCAGACATACTGCGCTGCTTTCTGTTGTCTGAGTGGTTCAGACCCTGCAGTGTGTTTAAAAACAAAAGCAGTTATCTTTGTAAGGGTAAATTTTGTGCTCAGCATTCAACATCAATGTTTCAGTCTCTCAGATCCATGTATGGACTGACACTGCTGGGGTTTTAAGTTTGCTAAGCAGAGCAAGAACAGTCGATGTAAATCTGTCACAACCCCCAGGAACGGTCAGCCTGTGCATGTCTGAGCATCATCTGTACTGTACGCGTCAGAGCGGAGCTGTGGGGCCGTGGGGAGCCCAGGGCTCAGCGCTGTGCTCTGAGGACTCGCAGCACAATTCCTCTCCCACTGTTGGCAGAGCTCCTCGTGGCAGGACAGTGCTGCACAGCCTGCAGCAGCATTCTGTCTTGACTTGATGCTACAAGGAAGGTGTTTTACCTTCCTGACAATTTGTGTGAGAGCACCGCATCACCCCTCTGACGCTTTTGTTGGTTTTGGTTTTTTTTCTGTGTTTTTCTAGTGGGAAAGGTATGTGTTAATATCCCAGGCTGTGGTGAGGTTTAACAGCTCAGAAAGTGAGTTACATTGCCCAGAGCATCTCCCTCTCAGTCTGCAGCGCTACCAGGAGGAGCTGTGAGGGCCATAGGAGCATAACCTCCCACCTCCCCAGCAGTGCACGGTCTCAGTTGAGATATTTGGAGAAAGTCCTCTAGCATTTAATTTATTTGCCCGATCAATTAAATTAAGGCAAGTCATGTTACCAAAGTTACAGTGGGGAGCCGAGCATGTGTATGTCCAGCTGAGCACATGTGATTCAGAATTGGCAGCAAACAGTGCTCAGCAAGAAGGCCATGAAGCCTCTCACAGCCTAAGCATCAGGAGGGAGGGAAAGGTTTATGTTTCCAGTCCCCTGTAGTAGAGATGAGAGGCACGGCAGGATGCCCTGCTGGAGCTGGGGCATAAATATCTCCCAGGTCTCTGCATTTAGTCCTCCAGTAACTGGCGACGTGCAATGAGTTCATATTCAAGTACAAGAAGAACAGAAGCTGACGAAGAAGGCTGACGAAGAAGTGATGGAGAACCTGCAATAATGGGTTTTGTTCTCTGCTAAGCAACAGCAGCTATCTCAAATCACTTTCAAGTCTCAAAGGCGCACAGAGCAGCGCGCTTCTTTGAGGGCCCAAAACAATGGAACAAAATGACGTGCCTTTCTCCGGCCGATTATTTGCCTGCACGATTAAGGACCAAGGTTAGAGTTGTCTTTCAGATAGGAACCCGAGTTTAGTTGCCCACAAAGAACGAAAGGGAAACCTTAATCAGTTAAAGCCATGGCAGAAGTCAGTCAGCTGCAAGTTTGCAGGAGATAGAACGAAGAAGGGAAGCGTCTCCTCCCCGACGGGAACGCGCGACGGCCCGGCAGCGCGCAGAGAGGCACCAGCGGCTCCGCACCACTCCCGGCTCCGCTCCAGCAGCGCGGCGGCGCCGCCGGGCCGGGCAGCGCTGGCCGGGCCGGGATCAGGACCCGACGCGGCGCTCCGACGGAGAGACGGGCCGGCAGGACGCCGCTCTGCCCGCGGCCGTCGCCGCCGTGGTGCCGCGGCTGGGCGGGCTCCGGGATGGGCAGCGCCGCGGCGCCCGTCGGCCGAGCTCACCGCGGTCGCTCCCGGGCGGCGGCGCCGTCTGTCCGTGTGCCCGCACGGCCGGGCGGAGCGGGCGGCCCCGCTCAGACGTAGTTCTTCTTGTCGTATTCGCCGTTGGATGTGGGCCGCCGCGGCGCCGAGTACTTGACGGGGAAGGAGGTCTCGTCGCGCTGCGAGCAGGAGCAGCAGCAGATGAGGCAGCCCCCGAACAGCAGCAGGGCCGTGGCCGCCCAGCCGATGTACAGCGCGGCCCCCATCTCCCGCTTCTGGGACGGCGGCACGGAGGGGTCGTAGAAGTCGCTGATGACGATGTTGGCGAACCAGCAGAGCGGGACGAGGACCAGGATCCCGCAGAGGATGTAGATGGTCCCTCCGGCGATCACGATGCGGGACTTCATCTTGCCGGGCCGGATGCAGTTGGTGCACTGCGCGCCCACCACGGTCACCATGAGCGCCACCAGCCCCAGCAGCGCCACGATGACCGTGAGCGCCCGGCCCGCCTGCACCTCGGGCCGCAGCGCCAGGATGGAATCGTACACCTTGCACTGCATCTGCCCCGTGCTCTGCACCACGCAGTTCATCCACAGCCCTTCCCAGATGGTCTGCGCCACCACGATGTTCACGTCGATGAAGGCTGACACCTGCCACATGGGCAGCCCGCAGGCCAGGATCACCCCCACCCAGCCCAGGATGCCCAGTCCCAGCCCCAAAATCTCCACCGCCGCCGAAGTCATGCTGCCGTTGCTCTTCGGAAGCCCGCGGGGAAAGGACGGCGACTCCGCACCTCCGGCCCCGGCCACGACCGCCGAGCCGTTCCGAGCGCCGGCGGCCCCGGGCAGCGCTATATGAGCAGCCGCGGGAGCCCTCCCACCGCCCGCCCCGCTCGCGGCCCGGCCCTTCCCGCGGAGGGGGGGGCTCTGCCCGGCCATTGGCGGACGCGGTTCCCCCGCTCGGGGAGCGGGGCTCCGCGCTGCCGGCAGCCGCCGCTCCGAGGGCTCCCGCCCCGGCCGGGGAGCGCTGCTCGGCTCGCCCCGCACCCTGCCGCCCCCCGCTCCCGGCGGAGCTGGCAGGGAAAACCTGATGGATTTGGGCCGGTCGGATTTCTTCCTTTTAGTGCCGTTATTTCTGTACTCCTTATTTACTGATAAAGCCCACTGCTTACACTTTGCATGGCTCTTATCAAGGTGAACAGCAGCGTGGGTGACCCAGTTATCAGAGCCGAATTGATCCGTTCGTAAAAGACTAACCGGCCAGCACAAGTATTCACTGGGCATTGTGACAGGCAAAAGTGTAAGCCGACACTGCCAGGAATCACTCGGGAAATGAAAGAATTTTGTGTAATCAAGTTTGCGCATCATCTGTCTGTACCAGTATTGATGCTTTCAGCAAGGATAATTGTTGTTAGTTGCATCAGTTGAGAAAGTGATTTGGTGAAGCCAAGAGCGAGGCATCCTAGTTAGGTATGTCACCATGAAGATTTCAAACTTCACTTTACTGTTTAACTGCTCAAGTACTTTACTGTTTAACTGCTCAAGTACATTTTGAATCTTCATGGCGTGTCAACAAATTTAGCATGAAAAAGAACATTTTTACAAGAGGTTCCATCAGTAGGCCACACATCAATACAGTCTCTTCATGGACCACTGGCCTCTCACACTGTTCTTGCAGACACACCTCAATTCCAGGCTTTGGTTCAGGCCAGCTGCCTGCCTGCCCAGCAGCTCACAGCCCCTGGGGCTGGTGAATGTGTGTGGTTAAGTGCTGCTGTTACAGCTGCAGGAGAAAAGATCTCACCTGCTGCCTCTGCGCTCACAGGGAGCTGCAGTCTGGCAGTGTTCCGCTAGGCACCTCGAGGGGGGCTAGATTTGATATAAGCATGGACTGCTTTTGTTTCTCTTAGAGAAGTTAGAATGTTGTAAACAAAATTGGAAGTTATGTTCACAGGGCGTTTAGAACTGATACGGGTAGATTAGGTTTCATTTAGCCCAAAGCACTTCTTCAGTACACAGGAGATCACGGAGATGAAAACAAGGTATTCCTGCCCCTCCGTAATTGGTTTTCCCCGTTGTGCAGTAATTTGTGGCATTTATTATGACATGCAGAGGTTTGTGTTGAAAATGAACAAGTCTGAGTGGAGAAGACCACGTGTGAAGCAGAGGAACAAGAAATGATAGGGCAGACGTTGAAGGGATTGCATGCATCAACTGAGGACATGAGCGATGAGTTGGCACTGAGCAATGCCCTGCCTGCATCCTTCTGCAGAGGGCCCACATGCTGGTAACAGGAGGATGGCAGTAAGGGCACAGCCTGTGGGATGTGGGATGTGGCCTTTCAACTTACTGTTATCTCAACAGGAAGGTGAAACTTAGCCACAAGACACCCAAAAGAATGAATCAAAAGATCATCATCCTTGTGGAGCATCGTGATGTGGACATGGCAGTACGTGACAGCAGCAGCCTGTCATCGATTATCTCTGACTGCGGAGCTGTAAACATTTCTAGCATGGAAAATGTCTTCCTAACAGAGGCTGCCTGGTAAATGGAGCTCAGAGGAGTTATCTCCTCTTCCAGCTGCATATGAAATACATACGGCTTACTTCAATTATGTAAAACTGTGAATTCCAATGTGCAAGTCCAGCAGGAATGTGTGACTGGGGCTGTGCGTCTGTCAGGCAGAGGCTCCTTGCTGTAAGTCAGCAAGGTCCCTGCTGTCAGGGAGAGGGGACTGTGCAAAAGAACTGACCAGAGAGACAGAGATATCTCAGAGGTGAACGGGAGGAAACCCGAAAGGCAGGCTGAAACTGAGTAACGTCTGTATTTATGATGATAATAATGATTATATAGAAACCTCAGAAGAACAATTAAAAAGGGGGGGGAAGAAAAGCCAGTTGTTATCTTAGCCTGTAAGCACAGGGAAGCCCCACCCTTACCACTTGCCCAAGAGCACAGAAATGCAGTTTCCTCTGATACATTGCCTACGTGTGCTGCCCAGGCGGGAGGCACTTGTGGGGCCGTGCAGCTGCTGGGGCTGCGTGCAGGGAAGGGAAGCATTGCACGGCTTTTTTCACCTCTGCAGCCCTCAGCCCACCTTCTCGTGCTACCTGTTACCGAGCAACCAATTCCTCCAAGTCACTTAATCCAAGACATTTATTACTCTGGGGCAACGCATGCTTAGCAATCACAGAGTAAACCAACATTTCTGCTTAAAGGAATTTCCATTCTTGGCACTTCTGCTTCTTGTGTTTGTTCCCTTTTCTTACCCAGGTACTGCCTTTTATCCTGGCCACACCATTTTTAATTACTCCTCGATGCTGAAAACAAGATCTCATTGCACAGGCTCCCAGCACTCACTGTTCTGGTTACACTTGCAGGTGACTTTGTGGACACAGCTGAGGGGGCTCAGGACCCCCTCAGCATCAGCACACTGTGGCTTCTGATGGTGTTAATGTCACAACATTGGGAATGACTTGAAGCTCCCAAAGTGAAAAGGTTCTGTTTTCTTAAAAGTGAACACAAATCAGCACAATGTTTTGCTTGGGATATTAAGTAAATAAATAATTACTTGTAACTGAAATCCGTGTTAGTAAAGTCTGTATTCACCTCAATTCAAAGACATGATGTTCTTGAGGCAAAGTAAGTTGTTAACAAATTACCGTTTCTGTTATTGCATCTATTGCTGTTTCAGCTATGTATTTATTAAATCATCTTGGGGGGATGCAGAGGGGGCTTTGCAGCCTGTGAAAATGGGCGGAAGTGGTATTCAAACTGAGAACAATTGCACAGAAACTATACTATAGCAAGAGGGGCTTTGGGATTAGAAGTAATTGTGTGTTCATGCTTTTCCTGACATGATCAGGACAAACACTGGGCACAGAGTAACTGGGAGGGCTGTTAAGGGGGGTCCAGGCTCCAGGATCCAGCACTGCTTGTCCTGAAATATGAACTGTGGCCCATGGCACAGAAGAACTGCCGTGCCCAGCCCTCCTGTCTGGCCAGGGCTTTGCTCAGCCCCAAGCATTCTGCTGGCAGTGTTCAGACAGATTTGTGTTTTGGGACCTGAAATGTAGACTGCTTCTGCTCCTTCTCACCCCTAAAATGTTAAGCATCAGGAAGACAAGAAAATGTCGTTTGGTGTCAAGCTTATGCCCAAACGTAGTATTGTTTGTGTGAATATGGCAGGCAATGAGTCAAAAGAATTAAAAGCTCAGTGATCTCAAGATGGCTTACCGCAGCTTTTGGATCAGACAGAAGCAAAAGTGAAGAATCAGGAGTCCTATTACAGATAGACTGTTAATTAAGTTATTCTTTATTAGTCAAGATTGCTCCTTTCTGAATTATCCCTTGAAGTGAGACTGTTTCTCCCAGGAGAAGAGATTCAGTTGGAGCTTGAGTTCACGTTCTGTATCTTGCAGAGAAGTGGGCCTCCATGAAGTCCCTGCACAGCAACAGTGCCAGCACGTCTTCAGGCCAGAGTGACACATCAGAAAGTTGATATGTAAGAATGAATCCTTGTCAGATGATGGGCTGATTACAGAATGAAAGTACACAATTTCCCCATCAGATTTATCTCAGCTTCCTTTATGTTGGAAAGAAGATGGAATTGCCACTCACTTTGTTAGTTGATATTTTTAGCAAAGAAAAACAGTGATCTAAGCACAGCACCAGCATTTTGCAATAGGGATCATAAATACAATATGACCAACACTAACAAAGTAGCATCCAACAACTTTTTTTAGTACAAGTGTTGCTGCTGCCCTTTGGGATGGAGAAATGGATGCCCATCCTACTCTTCATCCTCAGTGCTAATGTGAGATGATTCATATGGAAGAAGGGAAGGAAACAAATATATGTGTTTGCAAAGATGGATAAAAGAGTTACAGATCTGCTTCCAACCTTCATATCCTTGCTGGTGTATTGTTTTCTAAATGAGGTCACCCTGGCCCCATAACAGTCCTTGTACTTTACAAGCATCCCCTGCCTGGGCATTCTCTTATGGATTGCCCACTGGCTCTGTCAGGGAGCCAGGAGCAGGGAATTCTGGCTGCCCCACACACTGCATCAGGAGTCAAGCAGTGCTATGAGCGCTTTCTTGGCATAATGAGGAAATTAATTGTGCAAAACTATCATTAGAATGGAGTTCCAAACCTCCCTGCTTGAATTTCCCTACACACAAACCTCTGGATTGGTATCTCGAAGTTCCCCTTGGTCTGAACTGGTCTTCATGTCTCCATGAGTTAGTAAAGCAGCTCCCATTTACCAGCCCCCACTGCCTTGCCCTGCGGAGCTGCTGTGTGCCTTGTGTTCTGAGTTTGACTTTCCAGAGAATGCTGTGGTGCCTCTGCACAGCCATAGCTCTGGGGCTTCAGGGTGGTTAATGCAATGAATGATGAAGACCACTTTCTCAAAGCTTAGTATGTCCCTCTGGTAGATCAGTACCTAAACATCAGGAGAACTGCATATACGCCTCAGCCTTGTCAGTTCCAGTACTTCTCATTCTTGCTGTGAATAGCTCTTGAGAACGTATTAAAGCTTGGGGGAAAAGAACTATAGGAAATATACATTGTTTCACATTCAAGAATCCATTCTGTGTCACGTTTCCTATCCAGAGAACTGTAGTTTAATTTTGTCCTCTCCCAAAGTTAGCCTCCTTCCACGGATTGTGGTGAACCAGGACTCTGGTAGACCAATCTCTTTCCCATGTAATTGTTGGGAAATCACATCAGATGTCATTTGGTTAAGCACAGCGTCAGCAAGGACAAATGTCATTGTTTTAAATATACATTGCAGATGTTGAAAGTAATTAATAAAAACATGACCTTGGAGATAAGTGAAAACTCTTCAGGGTCAGTGATGGGAAACCTACTATATTTCTCAAGTGTCCCAGGAAACCTGAGTTCCAGAGAACATAAGAAGGTTTGGGGCACCTCCTCTGACCATAAGAGATTAATGCTGAGCAGTGCAGCTGTGTTCAAAGTACTTTTTTCCTGCTGACCCCTTGAAAGAGGACATCACGCACAGTGTGCAACTGTTGGGTATTTACTCCTGAAAGGTTTGGTTCTGGAGCTCCAAGCTGTGATTTAGCAAAGCACAGTTATTCTGAGTCTTAAACACAGGCTTAAATCTGATGGAAATGAAAAGGATCACACATTGTTTCAGGCTTAAAGCCCAAATATTCAACTGTGTGAGGAACAGACAAAACTGACAGAAAACAGAGCTAAAAGAGATTTTGTAACTGGAAATTTTGTCTAAGCAGTACATCTTCTGTTTTGTTTTAGTTTAATGGAAATTATACCAAGGAACATGGGGTTGTTTTATGTATCAAAACTCAATCCAGTCTTCAGGTCTTCAGTTTTGTGGTCATATTTGTTTTATTATAATCAGTGTCAAACCATTTTCTCTGTTAATTAACAGAAGATGCCATAAAGTTTTGAGATTATTTCTTTCTTCCTTTTTTTCTTTTTCTTTTTCTTTTTCTTTTTCCTGAATGTGTGAGGTTTTTTAACTTGCTAAGACAACGCTCCACACAAAATCAAGATCTGAATTCAAGGAAGGACTATGCTTTTGATAATGTAAACTTAAATGTAGCAGGAAATTTTAAGAGAGACATTTGAGCTTCCGAGAACTAAAACAAAATTCATTCAGAAACTATCAGAACAAGTGATTGGCTCACGTTCAGACTGCCATTGACTGCATTAACATTTCTTTTTAATCATTTGGGAGGAATAGGAGTCTTCAATACAATTGTATCTTCTATCTCTTCTAACACCAGCAAGAGAAATAAGGATGCAAAACGTGTTTTGTGGCCGTGCATTCTGTAGGTTTCACAGTGTAACATTTCCTAATTACATGTACCAAATAGTCCTGCTGCTCAGTGTTTGTGCAGTTTCATAACAAGTCTCATAACGTCTTTCAAAAGTAACAAAAGTACATTCTCATAAAGTGAGCAACTGCATTGTAGAACTCATTGTCACAGGATGCTCTTCATGCCAAAAGTTGAGATGGGTTCAAAAAGAAACAAAAAACATTCATGGAAGAGAAAACTCTCAAGATAAAAGTTCTGGTTCAGGAAGTCGCCGAGCTGCAGATCGCCGGAAGCCGGGAGGATACACAGCCACAGTGCTACTGTTATCTTTTCCCAAGCATCTGCTCCGGGGCACGGCTACTGCTGATCTTTGCTCCCACCCAAAGTGTCCCTCCTGGTGCACTCTGGCACAGCCAGTGCACAGCCGTGACTTCCCTGAGCCCTTTGTATGTGAGTTGGTCAGCGTCTGCTTCACCCGTGACATGGAGAAATGATTCGTGTGCCTCAGTTTTGAAGCATTTTAAAGGCTTGAGAATTTTTCATCCCTCGCACTGAAGATGGCTAAATGAAAGGAGTAACAGGAATGATGGGAAAGCTCTAACTTCTAGACTCTTTGGCTCTGTTAGTCTGCTATCCAGCACTGCTCGTGCCAATCTCTTCATTAATTCAGGTGCTAACCATTTATTTGTAATACCATTTTAAGTGTATGAAATACTTTCTGCATCAGTGTTCAAATTTAGTGAAAGAAAATGGCCACTGTTGTTCCACTGGTGATAGTGCACAACACCTACACAGATATCTGTGGAATAACCCAAAAGAAGACTTTGCTACTGGAAAAGATTGAAATGCCATTTTAAATTCCTTCAAGTGATGAATGGAACACTGCATTATAACAGTACGTGTTGTCCTGGGAAATGGAACCCAGCTGCTCTTTGGCTTTTGTCTTGCTCTTACTCAGATCCCATCAATGCTCAGCTGATGCTATGAGCACAAGGTGAATTAGCAAATAATGTCAGTCTGCCTTCAGTAGCATTTCTTTCACTTCCATATTTTCCTGTTGAGAATTGTGACCTCGTTTGCTTAACGGATATAAATGCAGCCAAAACAGAAATGTGCTTCTTAATGATTGAAACGTGCAGGCAGAAGGTTTGCCTTACATCTGGTAATCCAAAATCTGCCCTCCATAAAACTTTTGGATGGATTGCTGGGCACTTGTTTGCATCTGGTCCTCCCTTTGAATGACCCATCCCCGCACTTTTGCTGTTACTGTTTTAATTCGCCGCTGTTGTGCAGAAGCTTGAGACACGTAACTCTGCTCTGCCATCAGGAAGCGATCTGGTTCTGTAATCTGAGTGCAGGTATCATCTGCACTCCGGGTTCACACGCATGGGAGCCTTCGATGGCTCCGAGAGCCTGCGCTGCTCAGTGACAGCGAGCTGAGACTCAGCTCATCGAAGGGACTCAGAGAGCAAAGGGAAGGTGTCGGTAGCAAAACAGCCGTCGGTGCGGGTAAAACAGCACGCGTCTCGTGCGGTATGGTGAGAAGGTTTGCTTCGCGCATAGAGCAGCATCTGTAAATCAGGAGGCGTTCGCCGTGCTTTGCTTAGAGCTTGGAACGGAGAACTCGGCGCTGAGCCGAGGCTGCCCGGGGCTTCGCGCTGCTCACGCGAACGTCAGCCGGTAACCGCGGCACGCGGCCGCTCTGGGGAGAAGGCCTGGGAGCGGCGAGGCGCGGAGCCGGGCCGGGCGTCAGCCGCCGCGGAAAGCGCTTCCTTCCGACGGCCGCCTCGGACAGAGCGAGGGGCCGCCGTGAGGCCGGGCCCCGGGAGACAAAACCGACAGACGGCCGACGGCCGCGGCCCGGCGGGCGTCCGGGGCAGCAGCGCTGGGCGCAGGAGAACCGGGGCCGCCGGGACGGGCTGCGGGCACCGCGCCGGCCGCGGCCCGGGCGGCTCGGAGCCACGGTCCGCCGGACCTCGCGCGCTCCGGCCGGGCCGCCCCTCAGGCGAGGGGGGCGCTCTGCCCGCCCCGCGACCATAGAGCCGCGCGGAAGGCGGGGAGGCGCCCGGCCGCGGTGGCGTGTGGGATGCGGGAGGCCCGCGCGGGTGGAGGCGGCGGAGCGAGGCCCGGCAGCGCGGCTTCGGCGCCCGCAGGCTGAGGTAAGCCGGTAGCCGGGCCGCGGCCGAGTGAGCCCCTCCGCCCCGGTCGGCGGCCGCCCGCAGCCGGGAGCCGGCCGGAGTCGGGCCTTACGGCCGCCGGCGGGGCCTTACGGCGGGCCCGGCCTGGCCCCGAGCCGCTCGGAACTCGGGCCCCGCCGGCAGCGCGCCTGGGCCTGCCTCGGGCTGCCGCTCGGCCCGGGACACCGTAACCCTCCGGCCGCCGCCGCTCCGAGTCCCTGCCGCTCCGTGCGCTGCCGGCCGCCCGCGGCGCTGTGCCGTGAAGGAGGCCGGGCGGGCGGCCCGCGTTTCTCGGGCGTCGCTCGGATAATCGCCGCCGCAGGCAGCGCAGCTGGGCAGCCCGAACCGCCCGTGCCTCCGCGGTGTGGGACTGCGGGTACGGCCCGGGACGGCGGCACGTCCCTTCCTTGTGTGTTAACCGAAAGGTGGAGAGTTCATTTCTCGTATATTCCCACGCCTTTGCTTCTCGTAGGTGTGCAGCTACAGGTGAGCTTGGTGTGAGGCAGGGCTGCCTGCTTCCACATCGGTATCGTGGTCATTCGCTGAGCTGACCGTCCAGGAAGCCTCTCGTGTGCAGGACTGATTTACGGTATTGTTCTTTGATGCAGTAACTGTGGGAAGTGCTGCCAATAGCTGCTTGTGTAGGAATCGCATGACTGCTGGAACAAGCCCTCAATGTGAGCAGTACTGCTGCCTCCTCTGTGCTTCTGGGTGATGGCACTCGCTGAATAGCAGTAAGAAAGTGAGGTGTCTGGAGCAGTGCGTTTCCACCCGAACCGATCCCTGCACAAAGCATCTCGGATCAGAACTGTAGCTGCATGCACTTTCTCAATCTGAATTCTTTTTAAGGACAGAGCTCATACACCATTCTTCCCTCTTACTTGCTTACTCCTTGCACTCCTCTGCTGTGCAAATGCATGCTGTTAAGTCACAGAAGTGTAACACGCTGCATTTTCAATGTGAATAGTGCTGTACTGCTTGTTTTATGATCAGGAGAGCTTTTAAGGACCCAGAAGCGTTATTGGCCTTGGTGAATAGTGTTGCCTTCCCAGAAGCAAAGACAAGTCTGTATTGTGTGTTGTTGGATGAACATAATGTTGAAAATAAAACTATGTGAAACTTCTGTGCACCAAATATCAGTTCAGAGACAAAGCATCAGTGTACACTTACGGCTCATCTACCTGCATGTCTGTCACTGGTTGGTCTGTTGGATGTTCTTTGGTTCTTCCTTTTGTGGTTAGATTCAGAACCGTGTCTGGTAGAAGCATAATGCAGAAAGTAGTTACATTGTTATTGTGTAAACGGGGGTTGATTCATCTGGTAACAGTTGTTTGTAATGAGGAAAATAGAACTGACTGGGACTGGGGAGTAGAGGGAATGTGTGCTGCTCACTGGGAGCTGCTGGGAGGCGGTTTCAGCCACACAGCTGAGGATGCAGACACAGCGTGACAGTGAGCAGGCCCTGCAGGGCTCGCATTGTTGGACTGAATTGGGTGTTTCAAGCAACACTGACAGCATGCTACAGAAAAAAGTTAAAAAGCGTTCTGTATTTGAATATCCCTGTCTTCAGCTTAGGTTATGGTGAGATTCTGTGTTTCAGTTTTTTCATTTTTTGCATTCTTCTTGCAATGAGTGATACTTCATGGAGTTGTTCTTGTTCTGTCTGCATTATGTCTGAAAATTAGCCATCAGAATGCTGGTGGTGTCAAAGCCATTTTCGGCACCTACTTACATTGCTACTGCTTCCTGTGCCACTGTGCTTCATTATAATGCATGCTTTTAAAAGAGAATCAAAGTTATGTGAACTCTGATGAAAAGAAAGGTGACTCATTGGGTGAATCAGGAGGGCTGTTCCGCTGCAGAGATGGCTAAGATCACTGCGGAGTGCTTGTTTTAGAATGCTGTGAATAGCTGTTTATGGAAAGACTCCTTGTGCACTTTTTGTAGCGTTTTCTTTGTGCTGCTTAGGATTAAGAAAGTCCCAGACTGCCTGTTCCTGAGAGTTGACTGCTTGCATCCTGACAGGGATGGAGGAAATGACCCACTTTCCTTCCCCTTTCTCTCCCTCGCTGCAGTCCCATCTCCTCGCACAGGGCAGCAGGCTGCCATGCCCGCAGGCGGCTGTGGCTGAGCGCGGTGCCACCCGACCCTGCGGCTGCTGAGCAGAGCTCCAAAATGAACTGCTGCTATAATGTCCACTGTTTAAAAGTTGAATTTGTTGGATATTCTCTAGCATAGCTGTCCTTCTTTCTGTTAGCCTTGCTAAAATGGGGCTGCAAGCCTTGGCAAACAAAGTGATGCTGCTAATGCACTTGTTAAATAACTTGTTACGTTGTTCTTATGGTGCTTGGCACGGTCTTTTGAACATCAAAAGAGATCAGAATGGCTGTGACTTCTGCTTTCCCACAGTTATAATATGTATATATTGTGGAGAACTGATGAAATATCAAGCATTATGATTTCCTGAACGTAGAACTCTCCAGAGTGCTGTCAGACACCTGAGGTCACGTTGCTGCTTGGCTCAGCAGAATGCACGCAGGGTTCAGGTCTTCAGCCCTCTTTGCTGCCTGGCACAGTGTGGTCTGACAGCAAGTTTGTGTGAGAGAGCAGCTGCAGGTGGTTCAGGTGGTTCGTGCTGCAAGAAGTTGTAACATGCAGTACTGTCATGCTGATCCTAAGGCTTCGATTTGTGATGGCTCTGCACAGCATCAGAAAGGCCCCGCGCGGCCTCCAGGGAACTCACTTGTTTGAGCCATTTTCTGGAAAACCTCATGAGGGCAGCATCAGGGATTACACAGGAGCTGAAGCTTGCTAGCTGGTGATTCATTCGAACCGCAGTGCCTCATTTAAGCACTGAGGAGCAGCATGTTTTTTTTTCCCTCTAAGAATGTTAGGTATGTATGACCGTTGAATTCTTGTTCATCTTGGGCTGTCCTGGCCTGCTGCATGGAAACACTTGTGGATAGGAAGGTAGAAAGAATAAGAAAATAAGATTTCTCCCATCTTCTAATAAGCTCTGGAAGCCAGTTCTGACTCTAGAGAGATCACCTGACTTTCAGCTTTGTTGATTAATATTCAGTGCAAGCGTTGGTCACAACCAGGATAAGATCTAACTTCCTATTCAGGTAACAGATTATGATTTCCCAGAAGATTCTGGAGGTTCATAATACAACAGGAATTCTTTAGAAATCCTTTGTTGGTAAGAAGCAGCGCACACAGGTGTCACACATTGTGCTTGTAGGATAGTACTGAGCTGGAAATAGCTCTGTGACTGCTGTGTGTGTCAGTGCAGCTGTAGGGCTGTGCCCCACTGGCCGTTCAGGGGCCTGAATGGACCTAAACGTAATGCTTAAAGGAAAATAAACCATTTTGGTTTTTTCAAGGGTATTCTTAAGGGTGATTCGGAGGCTGTTTTGAGGAATGCATTGGTGACAGAAGATTAGGATCGCAGCCTCCTGTTTTTCCCAGCAGTACTTGTGCTAGGCTTTCGTTAGCAAGCAAATGAATGGGAACATGGGGAAAGCAGTTGGAGGAGAAAAAATGTCCTTGGCGGCATGGTGCCTGGTGTGTGCACAGCTGGTGGGATTCGAAGTGCCTGTTCCAGGGCGAGTTAAACGTGTGTACGCTGAAGATGTGTTTCCTTTAATAGTCAGAGTGCAATAATGCTAACTTCGGCTTTTCCTTCAGCCCAAAGCTTGGTGTTTCTCTGCCGGGGTTTGACTGTCAAACAGCCGCTGCCAGAAGCTGTACTGCATCCTGCTGGGATGGCTGCTGCTGCCCGACAGGAAGGCATTTGTCTGAGCACACAGGTGCTGCGTAGGTCACTTCCCGCTTCCCAGGCCAAGGGCTGTGCTGTCAGCAAAGCGAGCTGTGAAGTGTTCCTTCCATTTCACCTCCTGCCGGGGCTCTGTGGCAGCACTAATTGAAATGGCCTCGCATTGCTGTGATAACTGATCTGTAGTGCAGCTAACATCCTTCAGGAAGAAGATAAAGGCTTGCCAAAACTCAGCTTTTCTGGATGCCAGAAACTGCAGTTACTTATGGGGTCCCTCAGATCAAGTTGAGCTTTCATCCCCAGTGTGGATGAGCCAAACACTGTGGTTCTGCAGTGTCCCATAATGTTCAGGGAACGTGCTTCAAAGTGTCTGAAAATAATGTTGTAGCCCTCACTTGGAGAGCCTGTAGGTGTCCTGATGTCTGGGGACTTTTGTATGCTGTCATAATCCTCACCTGTCACCTTTAAGTACCTTTTAGACAACAGATAAAATAATTTTTGCTATTTGTAAGGTGGCTTTAAGAAAAAAATAGTAATTTATCTGTGGAAAGGGTAAAAACTGGATGAAAACCAATGCTGTTCTTCTACATTTCATTCTACTAGAATAAAAGCAAGTATTTGTAAGCAATCAATCAGTTCAAAATTAAAATGAAAGTAATCATGAAATCAACTAACATGTACTCTGCATTTTATTTTTCAGAGTCTGACACTTGGAGCGACTAAACATGTCTCAGTCGGGTGAAAAAGTGAAGGTAAAGAGATGGCTGCACAGCCAGAGTTGTGTGTTTTGAATCTGTCCAGCTTCTGAAAGCAGCTGTGGTTTTACTCAACCTTTCTTTCTCATTAGTTTTCCGACTCAGCAGGCTATGTGGGATTTGCTAATCTGCCCAACCAGGTCCACCGGAAATCTGTGAAAAAGGGCTTT